ATGACCACAGAAATCTCTAAAAAAGGCACTACACCCTTAGACTAAGCAAGGCCACTGGCTCTGTTAGCTCAGAAGGAGGAGTGGCTGAGTACTGAGTGACCAAACCACTTTCATGCATCATCTGCATGGTACCTGGCACATCAAAGGCTGTATTTGCTTCTGGTTTGGATCTTCCCCTCAGTTGCCAGGAGGAAATACTGAGTGCCAAGAGAAAGAAACCCAAAGAAATCAGCCACTCACCAAAACAGCTGAATACCCACCAGTATTCAAGGAGAACTAGACAATCTTTCTTAAGTTCCTTTTGAAAACACCTAATTTTTACTCCTCGCCTTTGTGGTCTCACTTTCCTTCTCCAAATTTCCTAAATTTAAATAACTTCCAGGACGAATTCAATGCAGATTAAACAGCTCACCTTCCCACAGCATCTCAACAGCCATAAACATAAAATGTTGCTTAAAACTAGAGAGGAGCCCTAAGGGCTGAGGAATTGGTTAGGAAGGAGATGCAACCCCACGACACAAGGATGCCTCCCAGGATGTGCCAGGGAGCCCATACCGTGTTTGTCAAAGGGCACATCATCCTCCACGAAGGGCTCAAAGTCCCCGCGCTGCCTCAGCATGAACTCCACGGTCTCCTGGCGGTGCCGCAGGTGGTTCCGGGAGTGTCCCTCCAGCTGGTCCCCCAGGGCCCGGAACAAGCAGTTGCTGAAATGAGGAGTGTGTGTGTGTGTGTGTGTGTGTGTGTGAGGCAGCAGAAGGAATAACGGGGTCACAGGGGAAAGGGGCTGTACTTGTTCTGTCTGTTTTAGCAAGGATAAGAATGCAAAGGAGCGCTCATTCCCTGTGGCTGCTGGGACAGCTGGGTCTGACTGATTGTGTGATGGGAAAACTGCTGGGCCAAACTGCCATGCTGACAACAGACCAACAAAGGACAATTCCCCTCTGAACAACCTCTCAGCAGAAGCGTTTACTACCCCTTTACCTGATAGAACAGAAAGGAGTGTAAGTGATCCACAAGAACATTTATGGACCTCTGTATGCTCAGTCCCGCTGGACAGTGGAGCCCTCGGCCCCCTGGCCGAGCCGTCAGGCCCTACAGAAGCGCAGAGAACAGCACAGATCCCTGAGGGCCACAGCGGGGACATCCTCACCCCTGCGGAGCACAGGGCCCACTTCAGCCGGGAGGGGAAAATCCTCGGCCCCCGGGACACGGGCTTCCCACCCCCGGGAGCGATGAAAGCCCTCGGCCCCCACGAGGAGAAGGAAGCCGTCAGCCTTCGGATGTGCGGGGAATCNTGGGGAATGGGAATGGGAATGGGGAATTGGGAATGGGGAATTGGGAATTGGGAATGGGGAATTGGGAATGGGGAATTGGGAATGGGGAATTGGGAATGGGGAATGGGAATGGGGAATGGGGAATGGGGAATTGGGAATGGGGAATTGGGAATTGGGAATGGGAATGGGGAATGGGGAATGGGAATTGGGAATGGGGAATGGGGAATTGGGAATGGGGAATGGGGAATGGGGAATGGGGAATTGGGGAATGGGGAATGGGGAATGGGAATGGGGAATGGGGACGGGGACAGATGGAGACAGGGATGGTGATGGGAATGGGAAAGGGAAACAAGAACCGGGACGGGAATGGGGACAGGAACGGCAGTGGGAACCAGGATGGATGGGAATGGGAGCAGTGACAGGAATGGGAAAGGGAGCATTGCAGCCCATCCTGAGCAAAGGCAGCAGGATGGGAGCACAAGACGGGGTTTAACCTCCCTGTGACATTATTCAGTGAGCACTGAATCAGATAAACCCCAAATTGCGATGAAAACACCTTTTTAAAATTCCACATTACACACAAGATCACACAGGGCCCTAAAACAACTCTTCTGGGGGAGTTTCTTTGTGCTGGGAAAGCTGCAGCTGGGAGGGAGGGGGATTCCCCTGATCCCCCCGGCTACAAATGATCCCTGGGTGAGTTTTCCTTCTGGGAACACCCCACACAACACCAACCTCTTCCATCTCTCCCCATTAATCCCTTTCTAAACCCACTCCTAATTAAAACAGCTGCTGCTCCCACTAACAGAGCCCATCCAAGCAATAAATACCCACCATAAACTTGGGGGTCTCCACCCTGCGGGGTGGGAGGATCAAGGCGAACCTCTGCACTAAAAATAAATAAAATAAGTGGGGGAATAGTTTCCTATCAGCTCACCCCAGCCCAGGATGTTTAGCAAGGCTGCAGATCAAAGCACAGCGGGTATTTACACTCCAGTAAGGCCCTGAGCAAACAGATGGGTGGGTGATACCTGGCTCTCCTTGTTCCATGGAAGGCTGAAATGTTCCACATTTCCAATGGGATAATAACTTCCACAGGTGGTTTTTAAGCCCTCGAGTCTGTGGGTTAGTTAAAGACAGGGTTTAGGTTTGTGTGGGCACTTCCCTGAGTGGATCCTCCACAGAGAGGGAGGGCTTAAAATGAGGGGATTTGGTTAAAACCATGTGTGGATCCCAAATCCACATGATCCCAGCCCTCTGCTCTCCATTTATGTCTCTGGACAATGCTTTTCATACAGATTTATCCAAACTCTACAGCAAAACCCCAAATTTTCCCCCTAAATCCAAGTGCCTGCAATGCCAAAGCAGGAGCAGCACAGACAAGAACTACCACAGTGGGGGGAACCTCTTGCAATGGTTTTGTGGAGGAGATGGGAAAGGGATTAATTAGTTAATTATTAGGGATGCCCTGGTTTTAAAAGTCAGGTGGGGAAAGCAGGGGCTGGGGCTGTCACTGTGGTGTTTTGGAGAGGTTCCTTGTGCAGATGGTGAGTGGGGAGGAAGGTGAGATGTAACTCCCCATCCCTAACAGGCTTGGATGGGGTTTTATTCCACTTGCAGCAGGAAATAAAAGGTTAGAGGGAAGGAAAACCCTGGGGCAGAGCAGCTGAGAGGTGACATCCCTTCCAGTGTCAGCTTTGGGGGCTCTCAGGAATTTCAACAAAGGTTTCTCCTCTTGCCTCCACACCAGTCAGTCATTTCTTCACAATTCCCAACCCCAAATTCCCTTCTCTGGGAGCGTGGTTAATCCCTGAGGGTGGGGCCCTGCCTATCTCCTGATACCTGCATTTGTGTCTGTGTTTGTTCTTGGCCCCACCGTTTCAAAGAAGCAGCTTTTGTTCCTTATCTCCTCTGATTTTGTGTCTCCCACGTGTCTCTGTATCATGTTTGGGTTATTGTAATTAAATAAACTCGATTCCCAAAGCATTCCAAGCCCTTTCATGGCTTTTCCAGCCTTCGCTGCTGGCAGTTTAATTTTACAGACCCCTTTCCCCCTGGGCAGGACAGGAAAACTGCAGATCCAGGAATTGCAATCCTGCTGTTTGCTGCTCTCCCTTGCAATTTGGCACAGCTGGATTTGGATGCAGCCATGGATTTGGGGGGACAGCTGCAAGGAAGGAGCCAAGGGAAATCATCTTTGAGGCTTCAGAGAGTGAGTTGGCAAAACTGAGGAAACACTGAGCCCAAAGTGCTGCCTCTCTACACCTGTAACAAGGATTTGACATCCTCTGAGGTGCCATCCTGGGTGAAAATCACTTTTATCCCATTTCTCCAGCCACCAAATCCCACGGATTTTAAAACCCTGGCCATGGCCAAGGCTTTGACTGGCCTCATGCAGGGATGGAGTCAGCCTTGTGCCCAGTGAGATGGTGGAGGAATGGATGATGATGAGATGATGGAGATGATGCTGTGAGAAAACTCATGTTTTTTGGGGGAAAAGGATGGGAATTGTCTCCCTGTTCAGGCAATCCTGGTTTAGGGTGACTGACAGCATCAGCACAGATAGAGGAGGGGGTGGGCCTGGCAGGGATATAAACCCACCCCTCTGAGCCGGCAGCGTTGGAGCTGCAGGTCCAGGTGGGGTAAGGAGAGGGGATTTCACTGCCCTGCTGCTCCCCAGGGCACAGGGGGAGGGCTGCAGGTCCAGGTGGGGTAAGGAGAGGGGATTTCACTGCCCTGCTGCTCCCCAGGGCATGGGGGCAGAGCTGCAGGTCCAGGTGGGGTAAGGAGAGGGGATTTCACTGCCCTGCTGCTCCCCAGGGCATGGGGGCAGAGCTGCAGGTCCAGGTGGGGTAAGGAGAGGGGATTTCACTGCCCTGCTGCTCCCCAGGGCATGAGGGGAGGGCTGCAGGTCCCAGGCAGGACAAACCACCCTGCCCCACGTCCCCAAACTGGGGTACAGAACCGTGGGGGGGTTCACTGGGTGATGCCTTGCAGAGCTGTGTGCCCACAGTGACACAAATGTCACCTGAGGCACTGCCCTGGCTCCCTGGCCCTGCTGGGGCACTGCAGGAGCTCCTGGATCATCACCCATCCTTGTTCCCTCTCCAGGGCAGCCCCAGGATGAGGAATCTCCTCCTTGCCGTGCTCCTGGCTTGTGGTAAGTGTCCTGCTGTCCCCGGCCAGGAATCCTCCTACAAACCCTGAGTCTCTGTGCACAATTCAGGTTTTGGTTTAAACCTGGCAGGTTCTCTCCAGGGCTTTGTGTAGAACTGCTGCGGTCCTGGAGGGCTCAGGGATGGGGAGGCTGTGGAATGCTGAGATCCATATTTATTTTGGGAGGCTCTGGAGCCCTGTTGTCACCTTTCCTACCTGTGCCAAGCCCATGGCTGATCCTGGTTGGTGATGGGTGATTGCAGTTTGCAAAATACCTTGTGTAAAAATATCTTTATTTTTACAGCCAGAGGCTGTAAAAGCCAGACTGAAAAATCCATCCTCTCCCTGGCACAGAGAAGCTGTGGCTGCCCAAATCCTGGAAGTGTCCAAGGCCAGGCTGGGTCTTGGAACAAGCTGGGATAGTGGAAGGTGTCACCCATGGCAGGAGGTGGAACAAGACAGGCTTTGAGCTTCCTTCCAGCCCAAACCATCCCATGATTCTGTAATTCCATCATTCTGGAGGTTCAAATCCTGCAAGTGCAGGTTTCCAGCAATGCCAGAGCAGTTTAATACCCCTGCCTGGAGCAAGGTTCAGGGGATACCCCCTGGCTCTCTGTTCCTGAGCCCATCCTGTGCCCCCCAGGGCTGCTCCCGGCTGGCACCAGCGTCCTGGAGCTGGAGAGGATGATCAGGGTGGCCACGGGCAGGAGTGCCCTGCTGTCCTACAGCTGGTACGGCTGTTTCTGCGGCATCGGGGGCTCCGGGACCCCCGTGGATCCCACTGACAGGTGAGACCCCACAGCACTGAAGCCCCTCACTGCCTGCCTTGCAGCGCTGGGGGGCTTTGTACCCCTCCCCAGCTGTTGTCTCGCTCCCTCTTCTTCCCTTAAATTTGAGGCTGGACCTTCCCCTGCGCTCCAGCTGTGGTGAGGGAGGGTTTGGGGCCGAGGTTTGATGTGGTGTCCCCGCAGGTGCTGCCAAGCCCACGATTGCTGCTACAGGAGGCTGAGGGAGGGCAGGTGCAGCCCCCTGCTCACCCCCTACAGCTTCACCTCCTCCAACGGGAGCATCACCTGCAGTGAGTACCGAGAGGGCACGGGGAGCATCCCCGAGACGGGGGAGCATCCCCCGGGTGAATCCAGGGTGGATCCCGGGTGAATCTCCTGAGCATCCCCTGAGTAAATCCTGGGTGAACCTCCTGAGCATCCCCTGAGTAAATCCTGGGTGAATCTCCTGAGCATCCCCTGAGTAAATCCAGGGTGGATCTCCTGAACATCCCCCGGGTAAATCCCGGGTGAATCCTGGATGAATCCCGGGTAAATCTCCTGAGCATCCCCTGAGTAAATCCCGGGTGGATCTCCTGAGCATCCCCCGGGGAAATCCTGAGTGAATCCTGGGTGAATCCAGGGTAAATCCTGGGTGAACCTCCTGAGCATCCCCCGGGGAAATCCAAGGTGGATCCCGGATAAATCCAGGATGCATCCTGGGTGAATCTCCTGAGCATCCCCTGGGTAAATCCCGGGTGGATCTCCTGAGCATCCCCCGGGTAAATCCCGGGTGAATCCTGGATGAATCCCGGGTAAATCTCCTGAGCATCCCCCGGGGAAATCCTGAGTGAATCCTGGGTGAATCCAGGGTAAATCCTGGGTGAACCTCCTGAGCATCCCCCGGGGAAATCCAAGGTGGATCCCGGATAAATCCAGGATGCATCCTGGGTGAATCTCCCGAGCATCCCCTGAGTAAATCCTGGTTGAATCTCCTGAGCATCCCCTGGATAAATCCCGGGTGAATCTCCTGAGCATCCCCTGGGTGAATCCCGGGTGGATCCCGGGTGAATCTCCTGAGTATCCCCTGGGTAAATCCTGAGTAAATCCCGGGTAAATCTCCTGAGCATCCCCCAGATGAATCCCGGGTGAATCCCGGGTGGATCTCCCGCACATCCCCCGGATGGATCCCGGCTGGATCCCGGCTGGATCCCCCGCACATCCCGAGTGGATCTCCCGCACATCCCGGGTGGATCCTGGGTGGATCCCGGGTGGATCTCTCGCACATCCCCCGGGTGAATCCCGGCTGGATCCCGGCTGGATCTCCTGCACATCCCGGGTGGATCCCGGCTGGATCCCGGGTGGATCTCCCGCACATCCCGGGTGGATCCGGGTGGATCCCGGCTGGATCCTGGGTGGATCTTCCGCACATCCCGGGTGGATCCCGGGTGGATCCCGGGTGGATCTCCCGCACATCCCGGGTGGATCCCGGCTGGATCTCCCGGGCACATCCCGGGTGGATCCCGGCTGGATCTCCCGCACATCCCGGGTGGATCCCGGGTGGATCCCCCGCAGATCCCCCGCACATCCCGGGTGGATCCAGCCCCATTCCCGGCGGGCTGGGATAATGAAATGCGCACTGAGGCTGGGGAAGGGGAGCACCAGGACACGCTGCTCTCTGTCCTTCCCCGGGGGCTCCGGGCAGGAAAGGCACGGCAGGGCTCCCTGTTTTCCCCCCGCAGGTGATGAGCAGAGCTGGTGCGAGAGAGAGACCTGTGTGTGTGACAGCACCGTGGCCTCGTGCTTCGCCAGCACCCTGCACTCCTACAACAATTCCTACCGCTTCTACTTCAAACTCAAATGCCAAGGAAGTAAACTCCAGTGCTGAGGAGAAGGAATCTGCACACAAAATTCCAGATTTGGGCTGGTTTTCCCCAGCAAATGGGGCTCGGAAAAGGTAGAGCTGCCTGTGAGGTGCTGCTCAGAACGAGCACCACAGATGGAGACCCAGCAGTTCCTGGAAAGCCACAGCAGCTTCCTCTTTTTGTCCCTTCCTCCTCTCTTGATTTCATTTCCCAGCAGATAATAATGATACAATAAAAGGGATGTAAATTGGTGCTCCGTGGTGGTTTTTTTTTCTGTAAGGGATGTTGAGATTGACGCGCTGCAAGAGTGGCTGACGAGTTTGGGGAGAACTTCTGCATCCCACACCTCAGCCACGTCATTTGCCTGACCCCCCAGCATTTTCCATGGTCCCAACAGGGCTGTAATTCACATTTCTATCCCCATGTGGAGCAATAAGTTTGGGGAACAGGATGCTCAGAGAAGCTGTGGCTGCCCCTGGATCCCTGCAAGTGCCCAAGACCAGGTTGGATGGGGCTAAGAGCAACCTGGGACAGTGGAAAGTGTCCTTGCCATTGCAGGGAGTGGAACAAGATGAGTTTTAAAATCCCTTCCAGCCCAAACCCATCTGGGATTCTGGCATTCTATGAATTTCTAATCCACATCCAAGCAGCTTCCTGAGGAACACAACAAAACAGTCCCAGAAATACCCTAAGAGGCTTCACATCACAGCGATTTTTAAGTTGTATATCATTTTTCTGTTCCTCTCCTGAGTCAGGACAACCTGAAGCACAGCTCAGCACAGGGAGAAGCTCACAGGAGTATCCCCAGCATCTCCTGGGCTGTTTTGGTTTCTGAGGATTTTACTAGGAATGACACAACTGCTCTTTCACATCTCTTCCCTGCTATAAACAATTCCATACAAAGCCTTTCACAGAAAGAAATGTTTTTAATGCAAACACACTAAAAGCAGGAAAAGAGTGTCAGTACAGAAACTGATTGGAAATGATTAATGAGGCAGTAATTCGCCTGAGGAGCATTAAGAGGCTGTGAGCAATTCAGATAAGCACAAGGCACGTGCCAGCCAGGGAGCATCACTCGTGACAGCAGAGACAAAGCACAGCCAGGATCAGGGCCTGGCTGAAAACTCTGTCAGTGGGGAGGACAACAAAAATCTATTTTTCCATCACAAAAAACACAGACAAATCACCTTCCTTCCTTAACAACCCTCCCAAACCAAATCAGTCTAGGATTCCATGACTCTTGGAAATGAGGGTTAAAGAATAATCATCCCCAGAGGAAGGAAGATTTCAAAGCCTTGACATTAGGCAGGTGCTAATTTAGGAGGGCAGTTGATGACTGAATGGTTTCTCATGAAGGGTGTAATGAGGAGGTGGAAAAGTCACAAGGAGAGAAATAAAGGCAAGTTCCACTTTCTCATCTCAGAATATTAATGTTGCTTCTGTTTTCTCATGGTGAGTGAGGGTGTAATCATCTGGTGTCTGCCCAACCTCGTGTCTCTGGGAACTGCACGTTTAGAGATGCTTTCAGTTTTGCCCACACTTTTCCCAAAGAAGTGATAACTCTCCTTGAACCTCCTTGAAAGCCCCAAACTTGCTGTGTCCATGCCCAGCCTGAACCCGAACTGGTTTTTTCCCCCCTGATGCAGCTCCTTGGCTCTGGGAAGGGCAGAAGAAAAGGCCCCTGGGCATCTCAGAGCGTGTTTGCTTCCTCCTTGGGCTGGAAGTGATGCTGCTTTTCCACCTCATCCCACCTCACTCGTGGGCTACGGGGCCTTAGGGTATTTCTGACATTCCTCAGAAGGGGAAGGATGACATCTTCTCTGCAGGGAAGCCCAGTCAGCAAGATTTGGGTGAAAGGAACCCCAGGCAGGTGGGAGCAAACTATATAAAGCAAACCCAGTTGCTGCAGGGCGCTGCAAGCCAGCAGGGCTTTGCCAAGGTAAGTGGGGATGGGGGATTGCTTTTCCCTCTCCTCCTCCTTTCAGCAGGAGCTGTGGTGCAGGTGCCACGCTGGGGAAGCAGGATTGAAGGAGATGCTGCCTGAGATGCCAGCCCAGGACATGCTCCCAGTCCCTGGAGAGAGGGAGAACCTCTGCTCCTGGATGATGAGGAAAGGAAGAAGAAGGTGGTTGGTAAAATAGAGAATTTGGTTTCCTCCCCCAGAGCTGTCAGAAGGATGAAGTCTGTCCTCGGCCTCTCCGTGCTGTTTGTGTGGGGTGAGTGTCCTCTCTCAGGCCCAAGGCTCTCTGTGCAGTCACAACACTGAAATTAGGACCAGGCTGGTGATTTCCTCACCTCTCCCCATCACCAGCTCTCCCTGACATGCAACAACTCCCCTGTGCCAAGCTGGGAACACATTTCCTCTCCATTGCATTCCTAATTCACCACCACCCTGGTGCCAGTCTGGAGGGATGGAGCTGCTGTTTGGGGCCGGGAATCAACGTCATCTCCCTGATTTTCCCCTTCCAGGCCTGTCCCCAGCCCAGGGGAGCCTCTTGCAGCTGCACCAGATGATCTCAGAGGCGACAGGGAAAAACGCTTTTCTGCATTACGGCTTCTACGGCTGCTACTGCGGCCTGGGGGGCAAGGGGCAGCCCAAGGATGCCACAGACAGGTGAGAACCCACTTTAAACCTCGCTGCCCAGACATATCCTTGAATATTTTTAATTCTGTGGAGTGAGGGGCAGAAAATTGCACCCCCTCAAGCTTCGATCTCCTGTGCAGATGCTGCCAGCTGCACGATACTTGCTACCAAAACCTCCTGGAGCATGGCTGCAATGCCAAGACACGGAGCTACTGCTACAGCTGGCACCAGGGCAGGCTCTCCTGCAGTGAGTAGGGTCCTGGAAAAGGGGGTGTCAGCCCCTCAAAGCTGGGGCTGACCCTGGCATCCTCTCTGTGCAGGGCCTGGCTCTCGGTGCTCCTACTTGTCCTGTGAGTGTGACCGCAGCCTGGCGCTGTGCCTGAGGAGAAACATCAGCAGCTACAGGAAAGGCTATCAATTCTTCCCCCAAATCCGGTGCTACTGATGGGAGCTGGGATGTGGGGATGGGGATCATCCCTGTGCTGCCTGCGGCAGAGCTGCTAAATTGAAATTTAAAACATTTAAAATTTAATTAAATCGAATTAAATGTAAATTAAATCAACGCGGAAATAAAGAAAAATAAAATAAAGTGTTCGTGTTCATCGTCTCCGGTCCTCTGAGAGCTGCTGCTGCTGCTGGGCAGGGAGAGAAATGCCTGTAAATAATCAACATCTTCCCAAAACTTTGCGAGAAGTCTCGGCCCCTGCGTCACTCGAGGCTCCACGGGGAGAGGGGAGGAAGGGGCGTAGCATTCCCTGGGTTTGGGACAGACGAATCATTTTGGAGCTTCCAGTTGGAGCTGGGCTGGACACCGAGGGCAGGATCTCTGCGGGAGGACAGGCTGACAGCGAGGAAGATTCCCTGGTGAGCTGCTGGGGAAGGAAAAATCCGGGGGGATGTTGGAAGGAGGCAGAGGGAGCGGCAGGTTCCTGCAGGAAAAGTGTGGGGAGGGGTGCTCTGGGTGCCAAAAGCGGTGGGACAGGAGCAGGGGGATGCTGGAGAGGTGGGGGATGCTCAGGTGCTGGGGGATGCTCAGGTGATG